TTAAAATAGTTTTAGGTGAAATATAGCACGTCACACTGACAGCCCAAAAGTCCATGCACTGCAAAAAAATGATTTTCATCCTCAGTATTTTTGTCGCTTCCCAGTACAAATATCTAAATATTCTTAAATCAAGATTTACTTGGAAGCAAAATTACTTAAGATATTAAGACATTTTTGATCAAAATGATGCCACTTTATGCTTAAATCAAGAATATCTGCAGATGGGGCCAGAAAACATTAACTTATTTTTCTGACCTCACTGGCAGATTTTTTTTTAATTCTTGTTCTAAGCAAAAAGTCACTTAATTTTGACCCATTTTTCAGAAAACAAGACAGTTCTATGTCATTTTGCCTCTCAAGTACTTGTATCTTAACCTTCTGTTGCTGCTCGCATGGTGGTCAGAAACGACTTAAACTTTTTTCTTTTTTTGTTTGTCAATGAAATGAATGTACTATGTTTTATATTTATGGAATAATCCATTTATTACCTGTTTACCACTTTTTGAGCACAGACCTGAAAATGAAATTTCCAGCTTAAACTGTCGTAAATCTTAAAGGGGTCATATGACATTGCTAAAAAGAACATTATTTTGTGTATTTGGTGTAAAGCAGTGTGTTTACGCTGTTTAAGGTTAAAAAAAAACATTATTTTCCACATACTGTGCATTACTGTTGCTCCTCTAAGCCCCGCCTTTCTGAAACGCGTCGATTTTTACAAAGCTCATCGTTCTGAAAAGCGCGCTGTGCTCTGATTGGCCAGCTATCCAGTGCGTTGTGATTGGCTGAATACCTCAAGCGTGTGACGGAAATGTTACGTCCCTTACCAGGTTCAGGAAACTTTCCTCCGTAAAATGCGCTGCACACACTCGAATATTTGGGTTGTACTGTTCTGGAACAGTGTTGTAAATAAAACTTAACCACTGATTTCTAGTTGTGTCGTCTTTAGGAAGACCAAACAAAGTAGCTTTTGCAACGAAACACACAGCGTCTCCATGACATGGTGGCGGCGGTGCAACAATACTACAGCGAGAATAAAAGTTACGCCTTCTTTCTTTGCGTATACATTTGGGCGGCATTATGCAAATCTTCCCACACAGTGATGTAGACATGTGTGAGCGTGTTTAAATGAGGCGTTTTAGGAGGGCGTGGATGAGCGTTCACTTTAATAAAGAATATCTCTTTGGGTTTGAGACTTTAATCTTTGTGACTT